TTTGGGTTGGGTTCATTTTGGAACAGTTGCCCAGCACAGGATGAAATGCAATTGGCTGGGTGATAAATCTAGAAACTTCACAGTCACAGCAAAAACCCCTCAGTTTCATGCTTTGCTATTCTGGGAGGACCTATAGCATCTTTACCCCGAGGGTTGGGTGGCAATGTCAGGTTCAGATTTTATCTTTGCAGAGACTCCAGAAGTGTGATCTGGGCAAAAAATTAGGGTCATGAGATCGTAAGAGGCTAGGATTGTCGATTTTCAGAGCTGAATAGGATCTTAGAAATAGTCAAGTCTGATGCATCCCAAAGTGTCGTTGTGAACACCACTGGGGATGTATAAGATGATTTAGATCTTGGATTAGTCAGGATAAGCTCACTAATGCTGCAGTAACAAGCAAACCCAGAAATCTTTGTGGCTTTACACGACCAAGTTTTATTTCTCCTACAAAAATTCTCATGAGGGTCCGTTGACCCTGCAGGGTGGTGGTCTTCCATGCAATGACTCAAGGACTCAGGCTGCCTTGATTTTTGTGAAGCTGCCATCTCTTGTGTAGCTTCCAGGTCAGGAAAGCAGAAGAAGAGAGAGTTGAAGGGCTGCGCAGTTTGCAAAAAAATAACCACAGACACAGAATTTTAAAATCTTTGCTCTATGATTGGCTTGTTAACTTTTGTTATGGGATGGATTGTAAAACATAAATATTTGCAATGTTTAAGATTTCGAAGATTAAGATTATTTTGATAACATTATTCACAGACTTAAACAGTGTGGCTATTACAAGTCTGTGGAGGGGATAAGTATTGTATAAAATAACTAACTTGGTGTAAATATTTTGCATCGGTAAAAAAAATATCTTTGCTCTAAATAAGAACTGACTCGTAAGAATGAAGGAGGAGAGTGTTCACCATTTAGCGGCTTGGGACTACCCACCTCATTTTGTTAGAATATCACAATTACAGAGTTTTATTTATGCCTGAATATAGCCCAAGACCACCTTCAAGATTTGCCATGTGATCAACAGGGGAGAAGTTGCCTCAACATTCAGGTAGGGAAACTGAGGCATCGTGATGCTCAGGGAAGGAAATGGACCTTGAAGTAAACTCCCAAAATCCTGTTTGAAAAGGGTCCTGATAGCATCCATGTGAAAGATGTAGCCAAAGACAGAAACACAAACACACTGAGGCACACGAAGACACACAAATTCACGCGCACACACATCCAAGCACACACAGGCTCACCCACAAAGATACACCAATCCTCTGTGTGTGTGATTAATCTCCCCAAGGCTAGGAGGAAGCACTGAAGGTGCAAGGGGACAATGAACTAGGCCTGTTGTGCACAAATCTGATCGGCAGCAGAATGGGCTCCACCACCTGCATTTCCTTCCATCTGGAGCCCCATAAATATCTCCTGGCCCCTGCCCCACCTCCCGGCAGCAATCCTCACTGCCATCTCTCCCAGGTTGGTTAGATTTAGGTGCTGGAGTGGTTTCTTTTCTTCCCAGACCAGCAGAACCTGTCTGACAGGTGTGCATTTACCATGCAGGAAGCCCGCAGAGTCAATATTGCTTCTTCCTTGACGGAGAGAGAAAGCTGGGTGTGAGGGGACTTGGCCATGGTTGGTTTGACCTGGGCTTGTGTACCTTGTAGAGCAGGCGGAAGGGGTTTCTGGTGCAGAGTGGGGCTGACCCACCCCCTAGTTCTGTGTGGACAGCTAAGCCTGAGCTGTGTCTACCCGTGAAACCCAGCACCTAAGGCCCTGGGGTCCAGAAAATAAAGGCAGAAGCCAGATGAGAGACTTCTTGGTGCCTTCACTCATCCTATGGAGTTGCTGGTGCCAGGAGGTCTCCTGGGCTGTGGTTAATTAACAGCATCTACTCTGCACTGAGCCTGCCTGGGTCTGAATCTCAACTTAGCCGCGGAGAGGCTCTGTGAGGTTATAGAAGCTCTCTGAGCCTCAGTTTCCCCATCTGTAAAATGGGGATGAGAATGGGACTTTCTTCATGGGGCTGTCATGGATATATGACATGCAAAGCATTTTAGTACAGGGCCACATTCTGGCAGACGGGGATCCATACATCTTGGCTATTTTGCTCGGACTCACGATGCCATGAGAGTCAGGTAGGAGACACAGACCAATTCAAGGAGAAGCGTTCACAGCAGCTTCAAAGAGAAATGGGTGCCGGGTCCCCACCCACCTTATTGGAGTCCTTGGATGTGCCGTGACCGGACTCACTGGGGGCCCATGCTCTTGCTGAGCTACAAACATCACTGACTAAGGTGGCGTCCATGGAGGGTGGCACTGGCTGCAGGGCTGCTGGCCTTCGTGGTCACCTCTTCCTGGGGTGTCTGGGTCCTTGGCCATGGAGGTTACCTTGAGGAGCCCACTCCGGGCTCCCCACTCACTCTCTTCCTCCCTTCCCTGCCCCACCTTCTTTTCAGACGTTTATTGAGCACCTATTATGTTCTGGGTGCTTTAACGAAGTACGCCTGGTCCCTGCCCTGGTGGTATTTGTAGCATTGTCTAGGAAGACAGTCAGTAAACAAACAGGTGAACAAGGTAATTTCCGATGACGTTAAGTTCTCTCAAAGAGAGGGAGTGACAGGGTGTGGCGGGCTGTATTTTAGCTGGGTTCAGGGAAGGCCTCTCTGAGCAGGTGACATCTGAGTTGAGACTGGAGGCTGAGAATTCCAGGGAAAAAGGGGACAGCAAGGCCTCAGGCCAGGGAGGAAGGCAGGGGGGACTGGGAGTTTTCAGTTTTACAGGGACAGAAAGAGAGAGAGGCTAAGAAAGGGAGGTTTTATGTCAGATGGGGCCGGAAGTCATCCGCTGCAGGGTCCATTTTGTATTTTATGAAGAGGACTCCAGCTGCTTCGTGCAAAAGCCTGTGGGGGTGGGGTGCAGGGGTGGGACTTGGGAATGCAGGGAGGAGGTGGCTGCAGAAGTCCTGGCACCTTGGCAGGGGGTGCCAGCATGGCCAGGAGAGCCGGGTTCCCCATGTACCCTGCAGGAAGAGCCAACGGGACTTGCCGACAGATTGCATTGGATTTGGGTAAGGGTGACAGATCTGAACTTGTCTGTCTCAATTGGGGTCCAAGTCTATTTTAATAGTGACCTTCCCGCGATGATGAATGGGTTGTTCCTCAGGTTCCCGGGAGGGCGGGTGGAACGAGCCGCAGCGGAGACTCACGCCTTCCCTGATGGCAGTGAAGCGACGTCGGGGACCTGGGCCCTTTCCCTGCTACCCATTTGTTAAGTGATGCCAGCTAAGTCACGTTCCCCCAACCGGGCGCCGGCGGCTTCGCTGGGAAATGCACGTGATCGTAGCGTCGTGGCAGAGGGAGGTTCTGGGTGTCGCTGGAGTTAAGGCGTCGTAAACGTTCGGAGCGTGGGGAGTAGGCACAGAGGGTGCGCGTGCTAGGGGTGTAGCAGAAAGTGTGCATCTCTCTGCGGGCATTTCCCTCCCCTTCCCTCCCCTCTGTCCCCTCACTGTGGCTCTGAGCATCCTTTTCTCCTCCATCCCGTGGTACCAAAACAGAGCCTTGGGTGACACACGCAGATACATTCTGAGTAGAGCTGGCCTGGAGGCTCTTGCCTTCTGCCCTGTCGTTTGTGAATAAGGGTGACACCACCCAACCACCCCGGCAACTCTCCGTCCTCATGAAGAGAGGGCAGGGGGCTTGGACCCTCTGTCACTGTCGGATGTCTACAGCTTGGGACCCCGTGGTCCCACCCAGGGAGTCTTTTCTTTAGATATGCTTGAAAGTAAGAGTGTGTCCAAGGATGTTTAATGAGTCTGCTCACATTTGGAGACATCCCAACTGCCCATCCGTCTGTCGCTTGATGACTAAGTTATAGCACACCCACACCATGGAGCGGCATGCAGCTGTGAAAAAAACAAGCTCAATCTCCGTGTCACCCTGATGAGGGACCCTCAATACACAATGGAGTGGAAAAGACGAACTATAGAATCATAGGACAATCCCCCTTCCCTGTTTTTAAGGACAAAAAGACACAGAGAAAGGAATTCTGCCATAATCTGTTCACACTAGTAAGTGCAGGGGGATGGAGTTAGGGAATGGAGTGGGGAGATTATCGACTTTTTCTTTATAGCTTTTTGTTTGACATATTATAATGCATGTGTTACTTCCCTAATTAAGGCAATCCAATGCCTCAGATATGTTCAAGCCTAAGAGAATCTTGTATCTAACCCCGGTCCCTGGCCCCTGGTTAGGATTTTTTAAAAAGGTTGGATGAATGATTGAAAGAGGAAGAGGGAAATGTTTAGGTCAATGTCTTGTTTCTTGGACGGTTTGTAAAACCTTAATAAAGCAGTTGGAGCCTTGAGGCAGTTGGTCATTAACGAATAACTCAGCATCAGAGGTCGGAGATAAAACACTCCCCCCACCCAGCCGTGCCCTCATTAAACACGGCCCCGGCCCGTCTCGGTGGGGTGCGTGTCCTCGCTCACAGCTTGGAGATGAGTGGTTGTCGCGTTTGCTCATGTGGCCGTCCCCTGTCCGCTTGGCTGCAACCAGGGAGGGACAGGCGCGAGAGTCCTTTGGGTGCCGCGTGACGTTCGGCCTTGACGGCTGTGACAGGGAAGGGTGATGTCACCCTCGATGGAGCTTCTGAGGACTTGCGCAGAGCAGATCACTACTGATAAACCCTCTTGGCAATAGCTGTCCCTCTCTGGTTAATGAACAGGTTGTTCTTGGTCTCCTCACCTCCAGAGTGGGTGCTGGGTTTTGGGAAGAGGTGGGTGGGTGGGTGGGGGCTTGGATGGGGTCTCCCTCCTCCCTCCTATTGCCTAGTCTCTCCCGATCCCTCCTTCCCACTTTCAGAGTGAGAGTCCCTCCCTGGACTCCACGCCACTCTCGGCTCCCCCAGTCCTCCTCCCTGCCTGTCTGTGTCTTGCTGAGCCAGGCAGACTCCCTGCTCGCCAAGTGGCAGTTCATTTTCAGATTCCCTTGTTTGCATTTCTATTTCACAGGTGACGAGAGACCAGTGAGCTATTCCACTTCCGTATGACAGCAGGAGCCTCCGTGAACGCAACGGAGTTTCACCAAACGAGTGACTCTAATGGGGAATTTTCAGGTATTCCGATAGACCAAAGGATGCAGTAATTTAGAGCTAGCTCGCAGTGCCCGTTGCTAAAACATTTCTTCCTCTTTTTATAAAAGCGGCATGTGCTCACGTTTGGAAAACACAGAAAGGCACAAAGAAAATTGAATAACGAATTCCGCTATCACTCCTCTAGTCAAAATTATCACTAGCAACACACGTGCACACAGTGTAAATATATAGTTACAAGAAATAGTAAGCTTTGCGTATTCTTCTGGAGCTCATTCTTTTCATGCAGAAATATATTGTGAAGGTACTCCCATAACTATAAGGAATCATCTGTGCAGTAATCGTTTTCCAAGTGGAAAAAATCTCAAACAACACAAAACATAAAAAACAATAAAGGCCTATATTATTCCAATCCTCAAGGGTAACCATTATCACTTTAAAAAAATATTTTCTAGGCTTTTTTTTCTACGGGTATGCATTCTAGAATGTTCTTTCTACGCAGATGCTCCTTGATTAATGATGAGGTCATGACAAACCCATTGTAAGTCGAAAATATTGTTGGGTAGGTGAAGTCAAACAATAGTGAGTTGAGCTATCATAAGTCGGGAACTGTCTGTAGTGTCCCGGCTCGATTTATCCACCCCTGTCACCTTAGCACCCAGACTGTCTGGCATCTATAAGATGCTCAGTAAATATTGCTGAATGAATGAAAAAATATAAATGCATATTTAATAGGATTCTTAGAGTACAGTCCACTTTCCAGTTTTTCCCCCCACAGCTTTGGAAAACTCATTTCATACATGACATGTGTTTGCTGCTTTCTTTCCTTTTGAGCAGGGCCATGCCTTGACTCTGGGCGTGAGCGCTTGGTGAGCAGGAAATAAGCAGAGTATCTCCCCACGGTTCTTGGGGTGGCCCTGAACCCTCAAATGCTGAAGCTACAGATGGAGCTGCTGAGTATTTTAAAGAGAACCTAAAGCAAACTGCGTGTGTTAGCAGAACGTGCCCCAGCAGGGCTGGTGGAAAATCTGTTTCCAGACTTGGGGTTAGGCCGCCCCAGGCTTAGCTAACCGTGCTTGTTTGCTCTTGGAGGTGGAGTGTGCGCTCTCATCCTCGAGTTTGCTCGCTGGAGTTGCAGGCTGAGGACCAGATGGTGGAGGAGGCATATGCAGGCTTGACCTTGACCTGAGGCTGGAGGAGAATGGCACATTCGGTAAGGAGTACCCTGGTCTCCAGCACTGCCTCCCGCCCATGGTGATGGGCTAGACCCAATCTGCAGGCTTGGAAAGGTCTTGTTTGGGCCACAGGCTCATGGTAGGTGGTGATGAAATTTCCCCTGGAGAGTAGATGTTTCCATGGTTCTCCAGGAGGTCTTATTCCCTGTCTCTCTTGGTCCAGAGGGGCCTCGGCGGAACTTGGAGGAGTGGAGACACCCCCCCCCCCCGCCCCCGCCCCCGGGCCCGAGCATCCTCAGTGCAGGGTGGGTGTTTATGCAGGAAGTAGTATCATAACTGGGCTACTTAGGTAGGAGGTTCTGAGTAAAGAGCTTGGAGGAGGATGGGTCTTAGCAACCATTTTATTACTACATTAATATCCATGGTATCAAATATGTCTCATCTTATCCCGTTATCTGTAGCAGCACCTCATGGGCTTAGGGGCTGTCAACATTTTAAATGCAAATCCAGAAAGTATGTGTTTCCAGCTTCTGGCCAGAGGCTCTGCTTCCCAGCTTGTCAGAATAGCCACCTCCAGGCTGCAACGCTTCATGAGAAATAAAGCTCTCTTTTGCAAATAAAAAAAAAAATGCAAGTACCCTTTGGCTCAGAAATACCATTTCTAGGTATCTCATCTAAAGAAACACTAGTGTGATGAACAAAGAGGGCTGTAGTGATGTTCTTTTCAGCATTGTTTGCAACAGTGTGAAACTGAAAATAAGCTGAGTGTCCAGCAAGTGGGGACTGTTAGATAAACTGTGGCATGTCTGCACTAGATAGAGGCGGATCTACACACGCTGACCTGGAAACTTCTCTGATGCAGCAATGCATAGAGAATGATCTTATTCATGCAAGAAAAAAAGTCAGTGCAAAAATATGTCTCTATCTGTATGTAAATGCACCGAAAAACGCTGTAACTGTGCCCGCTTCTACGGAAGGCAGTGGATCGGGTTATGTGTGTGGAGTATATGGGAATAATGACGATGGCAATTAAAATAATATGTGACATTTGTTGAGTCCTCATTCTGCACCTGGCACTGGGGAAGGGCTGTGCTCGAATTCGCTCTTGCTCAATCCCAACAGTGACCCCATGAGTTATGATTATAACCCTCATTTTGCAGATGAGAAAGCAAAAAGGCACAACTCCAGGGGGCGCTATCTCCAAATAATGCAATAGCCATGGTGGCCCTGGAATTGTTCGCGAGGGCCCACGTACGTCCCTGTGTGGGGTGGACTTGGGAGCCATCCTGGCGGAACTCTAAGAAGCAACTGAAGCCGATTCCAAGCAATTAGGCTGCTGTGAGCTTGTGCCTTAATAGTTTGGGAGTAAAAAGAACTTATTTAAAAAATAAAGACTATATTCACACACATCCTAGGCTAAGGCCTGGGGCATAGGGGATTATATTATATAATAATACTGTGTATAAAACAAAAATAGAATTATATTATGGATTGCATCTGGTAACTGATTTTTCATTCAATATGGCATGAAATGCTTGGCTGTCTTTGGGAAAAGGTGAGGTGGCTGCCAGCTGTCTGCTCTCTGCATTGTGGGCCACCCTGGGCATGGACTATAATTTGCATCTGCAATCCCTAGGGGGCATCAATGTCACTGTCTACACGAAGCTGCAGGCACAGCCTTGGCTGGAGTGGTTTTCAGACTTGAGTATGTGTCTAACTTTCCCAGGGAGGTTGCAAATAGGTAGATCCTGGGCTCACCCTGTGGAGTAACTACTGCCCAAGAACAAATGACTCCAGAGCCTAGCGGCTTGAAACAGCAATGATGGTCTTTGGTTTTTGAGAGTCAGGAATTAGGGAGTGTCCTAAGCTGGTTGGTTTTGGCTTGGGGTCTCTTATGAGGCTGAGGTCAAGACGTGGGTCAGACATGGCTGGGGCTGGTGGGTCCCTTTCCAAAGTGACTTTCTCACACACCTGTCAGGTTTATGCAGGTGGGGGCAGAATCCAGTTTCTGGGCAGATGGAGAGCTCCAGAAGGTTGCTTGAGTGTCATTATGACGCCCTGGAGGCCAAGCTCCCTCAGAATGAATGATCCGAGAGAGGGCAAGAGACGGAAGCTGCAATATCTTTTGTGACCCAGGCTCAGAAGTCACTCTGTCACTTGTGCAATAGCCGTTGTGTTGGTTACGAGGGTCAGCCTGTTCGAGGTGACAGGGGACCATACAAGGTGGGTGTGAACATTGGGGATACAGCGGGAGGCAGGACTCACCTGGAAGCACAGGCTCTGACTCCATTACCCATCACAGAAAAATCTTTGAATGGTGATGTTCTGTCTTTTGAGCATCTGGATCAAGCCACGCCTGAACTTTCAAGTTATACGAGCCAGTGAATTCTGTCATAGGCGCTTAAGTCAGTTTGAGTTGGGTTTCTGACACTGGCCAAGTCCTGCATAGTCTATCACAACAGAGGTAAAATCACTTTGAAACGTGAAAGCCCCAAATAGCTGCAAACGATCTGCGCCAAATATTTATGCATTCGATACTTTTGATGGACACAAGGCAAGGTTATATTTTCTAGGTTACCCTCCTATCCCCTTGAGAAAAGGAGTTATTTTTTGTGATAAGGAGGCAGACATCTCTCCACACAAACAGCTGTCTGCAAAAAAAAAAAAAATTAAAAAAAAGACAGCCATCTCTCCATTCTCAGGGACATATTAGGTCATTAAATATGAAATGTCCGATTTCGAGTCAAAAGTGTAGTTTATTATATCACAAATAAGAAGCAATACGATGAATCAAAGTATGTGCCTAAACTGTCAACACAGTTTTGCCATCTTAGTGGCAGCTTGTTTAGGCCAGCAGCGAAGAAGCCTGGAGAGTGAGTGGCAATGAAATAGTGAAAGGCATTTTCCACAGCTTGTTGAGAATTGAATATTTTTCCTTGCAAGAAGTGGCCCAAAGCCTGGAAGAAGTGGTAGTCATTTGGTGCAAGGTCTGGTGAATACGGTGGATGACAGAGAGTTTCCAAGCCCAGCCTCTGTAGTTGGAGCAGCGTTGTTTGTGCGACGTGTGGTTGAGCGTTGTCTTGCAAAGGATTGGCCTGTCTCTACTGACCAGTCTTGGCTGCTTATTTGCAAGCGTCCTCACCATTTTGTCCAATTGGTTGCAGTAGGCATCTGCTGGAATAGACTGACCAGGTTTCATGAAGCTGTAGTAGATAATCCCAGCGCCGGACCACCCAACAGACACCATTAGCTTTATCCACCCATTGTGCCGAACACAATTGTCAAAAAGAATCCATTTTGCAATCCATTTTTGCATTTTGCAATCCAAATTGCAATTGTCAAAAAGAATCCATTTTTCATCCCATGTAACAATATGGTATAGAAGTGGCTCACCTTTACATGACAGGAAAGAAAGGCAAGCTTTTGAGGTGATTTCTCTTCTGATGCTCATTTAATTCACACGGAACCTATTTATCCACCTTCTTTACCTTGCTGATTTGTTTCAAAGGGTCCAATATTGTTGGAAAATAATATCAAAGCTTGCTGCTAATTCACACATAGGTTGAGACGGATTCACTTGTACGACAGCTTTCAGCTCATCATTATCCACAATGGTCTCAGGTCACCCACGTGGCTCTTTTTCAAGCTTAAAATCACCAGAACAGAACTTCTCAAACCATTAACGTACTGTGCATTCACCAGCCACATCCTTCCCAAACACTTTGTTGATATTTCGAGCTGTCTGCGCTGCACTGGTTCCATGACAGAACTCATATTCGAAAATAACACGAATTTTTGACTTATGCATGGTTTCACAAAATTGTTCCCCAACAAACTGAAAGATACCCACAAGCCACAACATGCATTTGAAAGACTGAGGATGCACCTTCACAATAAAAATAAAACAAGAAGTGTCAAAGTGAAATGTCAGAGACATCAACTGTCAAACTTAGTACTTAAGGAAATCAGATATTTCATATTTAATAACACAAACTCTGTTTCTCAAAGCATGAATGTGTTTTTAGAATAGAATATCCGCTCTGCTGGGCTGCACATATATTGAGCACTTAACTGTATAGCAAACACTCTTCTCTACAGAAACCAGCTTGCTTCTAATTCATAGAAACAACCCAACTAAACCCTGAATGAATAGAACTTACAGTTTTGGCTTTTTCTTCCATCCTTTTCCCATTAGATCATTGGCTTTTGCTACTAGCTTATATTAGAATTTGGTATGAGATGATAGTTGATTTAGCACATAATTGTATGTGACAGGATAATTCATTGCAACACAATTAATTTGTGTTTTGTTTTGCTATAGGAAGAGAATCAGAATAGATGAGAGTTATTTGCAAATCCTCTGTACTGCAGTCTGTTAGGATAGGGAAAGAGAAGGGAGCTGGGTAGGCGGACATGCAGTGTCTGCTACAATTGGTGCTCAATAAATGTTTGTTTCCTTCACTCTTTCCTTTTCTGTCATGTTAGGACATCGTGACAATTGATGAGAGCGCTCAGGGCTGCCGAGGAGCTCTCAGGCTCTGATTCCACTGCCCATCACTGACGATCACAGAACGCCATCATTCAAAGATCCACGACCCGCAGCTTAGATGATGCTGGAACGCCAGGGGCTGCAGAGCCCCGTCCTAACAAGGCACTCTGCTGTCTCGGGGAACTTAAACCACTCTGTTTTCCCTTTAGTTTGCAACCCCCGGCTTATGGCTCGACAGAGAAGATGGGAGATGAGTGACTTTGAGACTCTGGGAAGAGGCAGAAACAGCGAGAAAGATTCCTCAGCGCCAGAGGGATGGGAGCTCTGCGGGTGCCTCGATCCATTCCATCATGAGGTCTTGGGGGGATGGCCGGACTCCCGCTGATGATCGGGCATGGGGAGATGCCGGATGGCTGGGGTACACTGAAAGAAGTTGGAGCCTGGATTTGGGGTTCCTAGCCTCCACAAAGATCCTGTGGCCGTGCCTGAGGGGCTCTGCAGAGTTGGACCATGAGCCCACCGGTAAGGTCATGGGGCACCAAAGCCCAGAGCCCAGCTTCTTTTTCCTAGCCCTGTGTTAAGCCTCCTGGATTCTCATGTGAACTTAGGGAGGTGAAAGGAACCACCCCAAAATAGGGACACTGAATTTCTTGTGGCCTGGCGCGGTGGCTCACACCTGTAATCCTAGCACTCTGGGAGGCCGAGGCGGGCGGATTGCTCGAGGAGTTCGAAACCAGCCTGAGCAAGAGTGAGACCCCGTCTCTACTATAAATAGAAAGAAATTAATTGCCCAAATAATATATACAGAAAAAAATTAGCCGGCCATGATGGCGCATGCCTGTAGTCCCAGCCACTCGGGAGGCTGAGGCAGGAGGATCGCTTGAGCCCAGGAGTTTGAGGTTGCTGTGAGCTAGGCTGATGCCATGGCACTCACTCTAGCCTGGTCAACAAAGTGAGACTGTGTCTCAAAAAAAAAAAAAAAAAAAAAAAAAAAGAATTTCTTGCTAACTCCATAAGATAAGGGCTCAGAGTTGATTAAAAAATGAGCATGGCATGTATTTCATATCTCATTTTGCAGACTGCATCTTTAAATATAGCTGTTTATTTATTAAATGTTTACTAGTGTTAGGCATTGTGCTGAATATTTTAATTGAAAATGTTGACTTTACCCCTCGAAGCAACCCCATGACATTGGCTATTATTCCATTTTATGGATGAGGAGACTGAGTTTCAGAGAGATTAGGTTGCTTGTGGTAGCATATGTTGTTGTTGGCACTCAAAGCACCCACCCTTACCCGCTTGGATTTTACCATTTCAGAATCCATGGGCTGGACTTCCACCTGCCAGCGTCGGTAGCTCTTGACCTAAGGACTCTCTCTGGCCACCAGAGCCCCCATGCGTAGCAGGCTAAAAGTGCTGGGAAGTCAGTGTCATCAGCATCAGCACTCAAATAATGACATAGGAAAGTTGGGACATTAACGCCCCAGTTTCCTTGCTGATTGGGTGAGTGACCATGGACGCCTACCTGCAGACTTCAGCTCAGGTTGCCCACAGCGATGGCTTCCTTGATGCACATCCTTTATTGGCTCCTTTTCTTCCCAGCTCCACTGTTGGTGCTTCCTGAGGTCACCTTCTAAATCAACTGTGTGCGCTTGAACCCCATCTCAGAGTAAGTTTCCGAGGGGTCCTGAACTAAGACACTTGCCCATGGTGAGTGGTAAGTTGCAGAGCTGGGATTTGAACCCGTTCTGCTTACCTCTAATGCCTGCCTCCTTAGCCGCTGCACTTTTAAGTTTGATATGTGAGCATTTCAAGTGACCACAAGGACACCATGATGTATGAGTTCTCTGTCACTGGACAAGCTTGAAAACAGTGACCACATTGGACATGTGCACCTGACCAGTGATCTTTGCCATGGGAGTGGCAGGGAGGGCAGCTTCCCGAGGCCAATGCCAGGGTGGAATTCTCCGGCTCTTTGGTGGGAAGAGAGAGGGAGCATGCTTTGCTCTGGGGAGGGGCCTGTGTGGCTGTGCCGAGTCTAGTTAGCATGCTGCCTGAGTACACCTCCTCCACGCCGGTGGCTCTCCGCTGGGCGATAAAGTAATTTAACTAGGGCTGTCTTCCAGGCTGGAGCTCCTGGAGATTGCTCCCCATTTATCACAGAGGAAAAAGTCGGGATCCACGGGCCTGGGCCTGCCAGCATCATCCTGGCTGCACGGCATTGATCTTTGAGCGGTGAGGGTCCGCCATGGGTAATGGAGTCAGAGCCCGCACACTCCAGCAGCTGTGAAGGCTCTTTGCAAACCAATCCTCTGCCCGATGTGAACTCAGACTTCGTGTTTACTCCTTGGTGATGGTGCAGGAGTTGATGGACCCTGGGAGGATTCTTCTGCCCGCAGATGCCTGCTCTGCTGGTTTGTCACGGTGTCTCTCAACAGCAAAGGACTAGAGGAGAGGGAAAAATATTTTTTGAATGCGGTGGAAATTCTATGTTTGCCTACATGCAAACATAGGGGTCTGCAAACTTTTTCTGTAAAAGTCCCTATAGGAAATATTTTCAGCTTTGCAAGCCATATAGTCTCTTTTGTTATTGTTCAGCCCTGCTGTTGTAGCACAAAAGCAGCCATGGGCAATAAATGTGACCGTGTTCCAATAGAATGTCTGCCGCCGACCCTGGCCTATAGTGCCCCTTCTGTCTTACCCTCTTTTCTTATAGTACCTGATTTTCTTTCTGTCCTTCCCATATAGTCTCTGTGCTCCTGGGAGACTGACTCTACCCCTAGCCAATTTTGACTGGCTCAAGCTAATCCAGTATATGCCATTTCCCTGGACCCAATGATTGGTTCAGGGCCGAGCATGTGACCTAAGTTAGCCAATCCGAGTGAATGTCAGGGCTCTTCTTTGTGAAGCTGGGAAGAGGGCATTCTTGTTTGTAGATCATGTGGGTTTCAAACATGAGGCTGGAACTGCTGCAGCTGTTTTGTGCTCATGAGGAAAGCCTGCATGTGTATGAAGTCAACAGCAATGAGGAAGTAAGGATTAAGAGAATTAGAAACGAAGAGTAGGCTATGAGACTTTCCAATTGTAAATTGCTTTTTTAAAATGCCAGTTTGACATGAGTTCTATGGAGTCATTACAGTAAGGATCTTTTTTTTTTTTTTTTTTTGAGATAGGTTCTCACTCTGTCAGCTGAGCTAGAGTGCAGTGGCATCATTATAGCTCTCTCTGCAAACTCAAACTTCTGGGATTGAGTAATCCTCCTGCCTCAGACTTGTGAATAGCTGGAACTACAGGTACGTACCACCATGCCCAGCTAATTTTTCTATTTTTGTAGAGATGGGGTCTTGCTCTTGCTCAGGCTGGTCTCAAACTCCTGGCCTCAAGCAATCTTCTTGCCTTGGCCTCCCAAAGTGCTAGAATTACAGGCCTGAGCCACTGTGCCCAGCCAGGATCTTAACAGTCATTTATGTAGCTAAACATGGTATATTATAGATATTATCTAATTTAATAGTTATGAAAACTCTATGCCTCTAATCTCTATTTAGCAGATGTTGAAACTAAGACATGAAAAGATTAAGTGTTATGTCTAAAGTCACGTAGTAGGGACTATCTTGTGCGATCATCTGAGACTCCTTCTTTACTTCCGTATTTCAGCAACAAATCCTGCCCCTGACCACAGCCCCTCTTGAGAGGGGCACGTGATACAAGCTGAGCCAATCAGAATTCTTCCCTGGGATTTTTCTTTCTGGAGCTGGAGGAAAAGAGTCATTTCTTCCCTGGTTGTGCATCCTCCTTTCTGGAAATTTCTTTCTACTCATATCCACAGATTGTAGTGGTAGCAGCCGTGTTACAATGTAGCCCTGCCTCTGTTCACAGTTGATTGGTAAAAGGGTGAAAACTTGACCCAAGAAAGACGAATCGGTTTTGTAGTGGTCTAATAATATATCTACAAGTTCTTTGATACTCCCTCCCTTCAGAAAGTGAAACTCTCCCTCCCATTGAGTGTGGGTGGGACTTAGGGACTTGCTTTCAATGGATAGAATGTGATTTCTGAGGCTGGTCACAAAAAGGATAGTGTCTGCCAGATGTTCTCTATCTCGGATCACTCACTTTAGGGGAAGCCAGCTGCCATGTTGTGAGGACACCCCGGTAGCCTACGGAGAGACCCCCATGGTGAGGATCCGCAGTCCCCAGCACCAACTTGCCAGCCACACGTGTGATTTATTTTGGAAATGGATTCCCCAGCCCCAGCCAAACCTTCAGGTGATTTCTGGCAGGAGAGACACTGAGCTGTAACCACCCAGCTAGGCAGCCCCTGGATTCCCAAGCCATAGAAAGTATGTGAGAGAATGCATGTTGTTGTTTTAAGCCATTCGGTTTTGGGATAATTTGTCACGGAGCAGTAGATAACGGGCACAAGACCCTCACTGAGAGTTTTGGGCTTGGAATTGAGAGAGTAAGGCTAAGTGGATTTGGAATGTGTTGGCAGCTCTATTTCCCACCATAAAGATAAGAGACCCTGAAGAAGCCATTTTTCAGAGAAAAAGAGAGAGAAAGAGAGGGAGGGTCTCTGGTGTTGTTTCTTCCTGCTCTTCTTCCTTTTTTGGTGATAACACCCTGATTTATCTTTGTGGGAATGACCTTTTTCCCACTCTGAGTTTATGTGGGTTGAATAGAACTGACTGCATATCCTAGCTTCCAGGGTGAGTATGTAATTTACATAGTTTTAGCACCTATATAGAGCAAGTTCCTGAAGTCAGCCCTGGAGTTTTCAGTTATGTGAGCCAGTAAATATCCCCTACCCTACTTTTTTCACGAAAGCTGGTTTGACTTGGGTTTCACTTACAAGTGAAACTTACAAAGAGCCGCCACTGAAACAAAAGCAGAGATGAGCAACAGAGGGAGATTAAGAAATTTCTGATGATGTATAAATTCCTGGATCCAGCTGTTCCTGAAACCCAGCCAAGTCCTGCCTTTAATAGCAACTACAGGGGCAGCAGTGACAGCAAAATTTATTGAATGCTTTTAATGAATTCCATCTTTTGCTAATTTGGTTTCTCTCACTTGCAACCAAGGAAGTCTTAAAGTGTACAATATCCGTGGCAAAATTATCTGGAAGAGGAGAAAATGTGCCAAGGCAAACAAAACTTAAATCAAGATTTAGAAAAAGACAAAAGTGAAAGAAATGAAATTTAGATCAAGATTTAGAAAAAGACAAAAGTGAAAGATCATGCAAGACTATGACTGCAACATGTGCAAATTTTGCCTGGACCTCCTCTGTATCTGGGGTAACCTGTGGCAGGGAGCACAGCCATGGATTGGATGCTGATGTAGGGGCTGATGTAGGCTTGGGGATAGTCAGAGAAGACCAAGCAAGGCACATGTCTGAAAGCCTTCTGAGTAGTTAAAATCAGGACCAACATCTACCTTCTTATTAAGAATGACAGGATCTATGGCCATAGCATCCTAAATGTACCTGATCTCATCTGATCCCTACAAGCTAAGCAGGGTCAGGCCTGGTTAATTACTTGGATGGGAGACTTTCTGGGAGCACTAGGTTGCTGTAGCCTAAAACAGGGACAACAACAAAAAGTATGGCAGGGATGGAAGATGGTATTGGAAAAGGGAGGTTTTTAAATTGATAAACCATATTGCTTAGTAATTTATTTTCTTCTTTTAG